AATTCTTCTCCTCCTCTCTCTCTCTCTCTCTCTCTCTTTCCCCGTCATACTTCTCACCGCATACGATTCAACGAACGTATTACCCGAACAACGAAAATGATAAATCACCTTTGGTGATTACCAAAGGGTCGATGATTACGCGCGCATAGTCGTAGATACGTAGGCAACACACTAATATTAATTGCAGATTTTTCTGCGCCGTCTGATCCAAATAGAGGCGTAATGTAAATTCGCGAATGGAGTAGCAAATGACTATTTACCATGATTCCCTGTCAATCGTGATTATGAACATATTTCATGCGTAGGTATTGATACGTTGAAACCCTCTCCCTCCCTCCCTCTCTCCCCCCTGCACCCTCCCCCCCCCCTCCCCCATCTCGACGCAGCTACCAAAAAGGGCGAGCGGCTGTGCGAGCATTTACGATGCACCGTTGAGTTTAAAATACACACCAACGGTTCACAGACGCAGGATCAAATTATTTGCTGATCATTTCACGATTTTCCCCGCAAATTCTCCAACTCTGTATGTAGATTACGCAATTAATTTCTACCAGTTAAAAAATTTTGCGCCCAGACCGAGCCCCGGTAGATATCGTTTCATCCCGTTCGATGGAAATTTTACGTTCTTCTCCATCTCCGTTTCTCATTGCTCGTCGAGAAATTTTACCATCTTTGAAAAAATTGAATCGAAAAAAAAAGAGAGAGAGAGAGAGAGAGAAGGAATAGAAACCGAGAACAATTTCTAAATTTGTAAAATGACAATTTGGAGAGAAACTATATATGTATATATATATAGCTTTAGTTTAAATGAAATTTGGACGAAAATTCGATTGCGATTTTTCAAAGATCTTTGATTCGAAAACCGCTTGGGTTTCAGTTCTGCGGAATCGGTGTGTCCCTTCTGAAACGCGGACTCGCCGCCACAAAGTAAATATCGACTAATTAGCGACGTGGCTAACGTCATAGGGTTTGCCACAGTCAAAGGACATCGTTATCCTGGCGTTGCCCATTTGAAAAATAACGTAAAAAAAAGCGGTTTGACGCCAAGGTTGCGCACCTTCCACCTTTTTCCAACCCCTCTCGCTCTCTCTCTTTTTCCTTTTTTCTCGTCTCGCAATCAAACGAAAATTAGCTGCGGTAAACGAGCAGGGGAGGTGGAGGATGAGAAAGAAAGGAAAAGAGAGTTATAGGAAAGCGTGACCGCGCTATGCGCCGTTTTCGGCGGGTTGGAAAGAATTTACAAAGCGAGAACTATCGGGGGAGGAGGTGGGGGGGGGGGGGGGGAAGTGGAGGGTAAGGTATCTATTCGCGAGATGGATGGAAACGTTCGATAAAAAGAGGGGAAAAAAGAGACGATAAAGGAAGGGGAAAAAAGGAAGGTTGCCACGAGATCAAGAAAAATGAATGGCTCTATCTTTCGGTAATTAAGACTGTACCGAAAAATAAGCAAACACGTGGAAACAAACCCCGCGCGAGGCTTTAGACGCGGCACAGCTGTTGCGCCCCTCAGAATTCAAATAAACGACTTAGGTAGATTAAGCATACAAATCTTCGTGGTTCCTCCTCTGCAAATTCCTATATACGTTTCAGCTGCTCTTTGTATATAGAACGTTTGTCAACGTAAAAAAATCATGAAACCTACCGGCTGCGTTATCAGACGAATCGGGCGTTCCTCTACTATTTATATATTATATATATTAAATCGTCCGACTATTTTCGTTCGATTGACAAATTTTCAAAAATACATATATATATATATATATATAAATAACGATTGAACACGATCTAACGATTTAACAGAACAATCCAATTACTCCCAACTTATTCTCTCGCTGATAACAAAAGAATTCCATTTCAAGGAATCATTTCCAAAAAATATTACTCGAAATTCAATTTCCGTACGATACGCAAATAATCTCTCGCTTATCTTTCAACAAGATAAAAAAAAATACGCTGGCTCAGTTGGAGCGCAAGAATTTGTTGCCAAAGAAGAAACCAAGAATCATAAAGAAGATGAACAAAGAGAGGTTGATACCGTATTGAAACTCACGTCTGTAAGGGCGTCCCTCCTCGGGCGTGGAGCGCTCGGTGTTCTCGGATCCGGGCGTAGCATTGGCGTCCCGATCCTCGTCCTCCGGCGTGGTTCCTCGATTCGGGACGGAGCCGGTCCCGGTCCCTGTTGGCGATCGGCTCGTGGACCCGGCCGGGCTCTGGGGCGCCACTTCCTGCCCGGACGCGCCGCTCGCGCCTCCCCCGACGCCTCCAACGCCCCCGATGCCCGCCGACGCCCCGGAGACGGAGACCACCGCGCCTCCGCTCGCGGAGGACAGGGACGAGGGCGAGAACATGTTCGACATGGTGGAGAGCGAGCCGATGCTCGGCAACCCGGACCCGGCCACGGGCCCGTTCCCGGTCTCTACTTTCAAACACTTGCTAGGCGGGGCGAAGGCCGAGGGGCCGAGGGGCCTGAACCCACCGAACGGCAAACGGTGATCCAAAGGGTGGAGAAATTGGGGCGGCAGGTGGAGCATATGATGGAGGCCGTAGCCGAGAGATGCCGCGGTGCTGAACGGTACTTGGAGATCCTTCGAGTCGGTCACCTGGACATTTAAATCGGCTAGCGTTAGGGGAGGGTGTGCGATATAATTTCAGCTTGTCGAGTTGAGTAGATGTCGTATAGGGGAGGAAATTTTTAATCTTTAAAATTCGATGCTTCTTAAGGTTAAGGTTGAGGAATTTTTTTCTTTTTAGTTAACGAATTAACGAGTGGATAACGTGACGAAAATAATATAAAGTTGGTAATTCGTTTGATTATCGCCGTTTCGAACTTTCATTTCCGTTTCGTCGAATCTGGACACCGAGTTTATCGTGTAATTGTAATTGAATAAAACGCGAAAAATACACGTACGATGTGTTATACGGAAATCTATTGCATTTTGTATTACTGTACAACTTCAAAGAATTGGAATCATTCGCAGTTTTTTTCAACACTTTTCATATTTTTAGTAAAAAATCATAATATAAACATAATAAATGTAAAAAATAATAAGATATAATTAATATATAAAGAACACGAAAGATGTTGAAAATGACGGATGATTCCTGATTCTTCTGGAAGAATTTCTTCAAAAACTGTATAATAATCTACCATGTAAGTCCATGTATATTTGATCGAAAAAAATCGAACGATTACAGGCTTTCTTTATCTTTTTTTTTTTTTTTTTTTATTTTTTCACAACGAGTGGCATAACTGGCAATTTTAGGCATTAAACGTATCAGTAAAGATTTCTGTGTTGCCGCGATCAGGCAGATTCGTAACGATGACGTTTACCGTAGCCTGATGTTCCATTGTTATAAACGTTACAAAACACAACTCGTTGATTTCCATCGAGGCATTCACTATGCCAGCTTAATAGACTCGTCAATCACGGCGAATTGAATGATACAACTGACGGGTAGAAGCTTCACATTTTGACGGATTATTATAACACAGTGGTTTCGCGTTATTAACAGTATAATGCCATATTGCTTTGGTATTATACGCTATTTCAATGTGCTCGAATTCATAGGAATACCCGCATACTGCAAATGAGATATCCGGTAATACATATTATACGATAAGTTTTATCCACGAATATTGTCCGATATTTCCGAAAACGTGAAATATCGAATTAACAAACGCGGGACGAATGTTAGGATCGTAGGGTAACATCGTATATCGATATTTTCTGCACAACAACAACAAATTCCAATTCAATTAGACAAAAATCTAAAATCGCGAATCGAATTCTCCTTAGTTAGAAAATTTTTTCTATTGATAAGGGAAGGAGGGAAATGGGGGGGGAGGGGAGAAAGATATGGTATATGTCGACGAATGCAACAAAATCAAAATTTAAGCGCGCGAAAATGTGTATAAGGAATATATACGAGAATTTGTTATATCTCTCGCAAAAAGAATAGATAATATTTATCGGAAACGGAGATTGATGCGCGCTTTAATCAATTATTCGTATTCCTAATATACCTAATAATACGCGAAATATCGATACGATATTATCTACGTTGGAACATAGGTATTTCATTAATTTTGATTTAATATTGACCATCTTTTGTATCCCGATAGATATATATCACACTTTCGAAACGCAAATAGAATCGCCATTACGTCGCTAAACATTTCGCATTTAGAGTTTCACAAATATTAGAATTTGTTTTTGGAAAAATAAACGCGGGATATATCCCGTCCGATCGGGATGGAAAAATTCGCGAAAATACCTTCCACCCACCCTACCACTTCAACGCCAGTGTAATATTTCTATGAGAGAGTTATTGCATTTTAAACAGAAATGGAAACATATCTACTTATTACCGATCGAAAATCGAATACTAATATTTGAACAATGCTTACGCACTATCAGATCAATATTCGTGCTCGCGTAGGTGTTCTATCCAACATCATACCGTTACGCCACATTTGTACAATTTTAGAACTTGACCGTGTGTCGTCGAATATATGTTTTCGAAATGAAAACGTTAAAATTGTCGATATTTCGCAACAAGGGCGGAATTTTTTTTTTCCCCTTTTTTCCTTTTTTTTTTCAAATCCTTATTCCTTCCAACCAAGTTGGATTTTAATACGAATAATCTCCATTAATTCTATCTGTATTCACCTTCGTAACGATCTTGCGTCCGTCGATGGAATCGATGCAGATCCCGTTGGGTCGGTTACGGCATACGAAACAATCGATCTCGCGAACGTGTGTGAAAATACTATACGCAAAATTAAACGATTAAATAATATCGTTAAATAATATTTGTTTTGCACAATTGTCAATTTGAAGCTTGAACGTAGCTGAATATATAATTTGAATAGTGTTTTGTTAATTGTTTTATTGTAAAAAAAAAAAAAAAAAAAACCAAGATCGCGCATTACGACGATGGATCACGACGATCGAACGTGGAATTTAAATCATCTTCCCCGGCTGACCGATCGAAGAAATATAATAGGACCGACGTTTCCGACGGTAAGCGGGAATAATCGCGCGAGTGGATATGATGCCCGCGTACGTATAAAAATTTCAGTAAGCATCGCGCAAGTTTGAAAAATCTGATTACTGATTGTTATGCATCGGCTGCCGATTAATTAAAAATCACAAATTAATTACGTGGTGGTACGGTCATTAATTATGATTAATATGTTGCACGCAGCCACCACGTGCGATTTTAATTAAACTTATTACATTTCAATCCCGATATTATGGGCGGACACGTTACGTTATCGTTAAAGAATATATTTCCCTCTCTTTCAGTTTTTAAAATATTATTTCCAATCCGGGCATAAAACTGATCAAAACTGGGAGAAAATCACGGCCGGACTCGTTGTTCCATCGATACGTGATTTCCGGATAAACATTTCATCGGACCAATAATGATGCGCCCGACCAGTTATAGGGGGGAATTAGTACGGCACGATTAGTTTATTATTCTTTTATACGAGGAAATGAGGTGCAGGTTCGTCGGTGTGCACGCATTTCTACTTCTGCACAGCCTCGCTCGATCATTCATTTATATTAGGCATTTATTATTACTTCAATTACGAGCGTACGTCGTCACACAAGCGGAGAATTTTTCAATCGTCGATTCCCGTGCCGATCGGATGTTCATCCTTTCCGCGTATTATTATATTTTTATCTTTTTTTTTTTTTTTCCCCTTTTCCTTTATATTCGTTCCTACTCGCAGTTACGCGGCAAAAACGCGTGCAAATTTCGTCGTTCCGCCGCGATTAATTTCCAACGAAATTATCTCACTTTTTTTTCTTTTTTAACGACACCGAATTTTGATATGCTGCCACATTTTATTACCCGATTCCAATCAATCGTTTCGTACGTGTCTCGAAAGGTATCTCCGTGCCTCTATTTTTATTCCAAGCATACATATTGCAATCGGTTTCAATAATACAATATCTCCCTCTGTGACGCGTGTATTAAACGAGCTCGTTAATAAACACTTTAAAAATGTATACACACATTTTTTTTTTTTTTTTTTTTTTTTCGAACGACGGGTTTCGCTTCGACGGAGATTCGATCGTTCCACTGTATCTTACTTGTATCGAATTGATGTTAAAGTAAAGAAGAAAGTAAGATAAGACTGGTCACACGATAGTAATGACAAATATCCGTGTCGCCTTAACGCTTAACATTATGGGTATACAATATACTTACAATAATAACTCCGTGTACCTTTGCCGTTTGCTCTTAGTCCAGTGTTTTGAATCGAGTTTTTTTCCTACAGATTGCTATTGTAAAATAATTGATCGCCTACCGGTACAACTGCTAGCAACACTATTATTCGCGCATGCATTTATATATATATACATTGGTACCAGTACACATTCAGCAAAATCCCCATTCAAAGCGTGCATTAATTACCATTTGTGCGCATAAAGCGGTCGAAACGATTGCAACTGTGGTTGGTCCATTGAAATTGACATTTTTCCGTCCTTTTATTATTATTCACTATGATATAGTAGCCGGCAAATGAATTCGCGATAAATTATTAAAAGTGTAAAGATTTTACACCAGTTTTCACGCTTTTATATTAGAATTGCGTGGTTATACATCTTTAAATTTTTTTTTTTTTTTTTCCACCTCAAGGAATACAATTGCGTACGATTCTAAACAATTTTCCATTTTCAAACATTTCAAGTTTTATTCTATTTCTAATATACTTTTCGTCACAAATCATTGTATCGTAAGTCATACTGGATCTGGTATTAACAAAATAAATGTCAATGTCAAAGCACCTATAACCGCTTCGATTAAACTTGCTTTCTTCCAGTCCAAACTGGCGAAAATAATATTCAGAAATATTCGAAAAATGGAAAACCGATTTGGAAAAAATCGGTCGAAGACGAAACAAGCGGAGGAGGAGCCTTTATTATTTTCGCCAGATTCGATAAACAGATAGGCATACAAAGCAGACACAGGCTTAGGCGTATAGGTAAGGATAATAGGACACTAACTTGTGGATTGAAGGGTCTTTGCATTCTCAGAGCCTCCGGCAGCCCCCCGGCCTGTGAAAACACGACCAGGGATGGCGGCGGTAGATGATTCGGCACATACGCAGAATTATCCATCTAGAACAGACATGGCCGTGTTCCATTTCTCAATCTTCTTTCGATCTCCCTCTCGCGTCCCGATTTTCCGTGTCGAAAATGATTGCCGATCCGCGGAAAACGAACGTGGCAAGTAGCGTGTGAAACGTGTGAAATGTGAACATCTGGTAAGTACTGTTGATACCAAGTCGAAAATCTTAGTAATTAATAATAGTATGATGTGGATATTTAAGTTTGGCCAAAAATACGAATTGGAATGTAAGGTAATGGAAAGAATATATAAAATATATTCGAGATCACGTTCGATAGATAGAAACATTTGGATTATATTTCTTGCAAAATATAACACGCGATACAAAAGAAACTCGACATGGCGTGAAAACAATGCTTACGGTATATGTTAAATTGTATAAAAGAAATGAAAATTTACCAAGGTGTTTTGATAATGTGTAATAATAGAGATATACGATTCCTCCAACTTCTTTTATTAAATGGATTTTAAAATTGTTTGAGAACGTTCTTTTATCAACGATCATCATCGATTGCGATTTATTAGTTGAAACTGTGATAAATAATTGATTTCTTAATATAAAAAAAAGACGTATTGGAATCGAAACATAAGTTGAAACGTAAAGTATATTTGAAAAATTTACGTAGAAAATAGTTCTGAATCGTTCATTCAACTATCCATTACTAAAATCGGATTAATCAAAAATCGAAAAAGAATGAAAAAGGGATAGACAAAGAGTCGTAATGCAATCGTGGTAATTGTAGATTTTCAAGACAATCGAATACGATATAGTTAATGACTCCACCGTCAAATGACTCCAGTTTCCACTCCTTCTTGTCTTTCAACGAGAGCTATCGAATTTGATCCATGAGTAACTGCATCGATCGCGGTTGTATCAACTTTTCTTTCTCATTAGATCAAATACAGTACATTGAAGAGTGCAAGAAAGTACGCGTCGGGAAACATATCAGAAAGAAGTCGGGAGGAATCGAATATAAACCGTCGCGATGCCTTGCAAGTGTTCACTTTTATTTATCTAACGTAACACTATTTGGCAATTTGCAACATCTACTACTACATTATCACGCTTAAAATTTGATTAGAGCGTTATATTACACGATAATATCATGATATTTACCACTAAATTTTAACAAAATGATATTATTGAAATGTAAGAGTATACATATTTGAATTTCAAAATTGATTTTAAAATAAAGAATTACGTTACTTTAACGTAGTTAATAATTGAAAAGTTATATGTTATCTTGTTATCTTTGATCTTTTTTAATACAGACAATGTATTAATTTTTAGACTATGTATTAATTTTTATTTTTAAATGCCTTAACAAATCATTATTACCAAAAATCATTAAAATTTACAATAATAAAATTAACAAATCTAAGTAAAATATTTAATATGTAATTTATAGTAAATTTTAAGATAAATCTATAAAAGTATATGTCATAAAATGATGAATTTTTTCAAAAATATTATATTATTATGAGAACCTTTAAATGTAAAGGAAAAATTATATAAAAGTGAACACTTGCACAACGCAACAACGCAACAGGCTAACCTTGTTTCGATTATTTTTCCATGTATTATTGTATTGATGTAAAATTAAAAAAATATATTTATATTCCTAAGAATGTGTCATGTGTATGCGTGTATACGCGTATATATTAATCACCATCCGCGTACATTTTGCTGTACACCAAAGAAGTCACTGCACGAAATACGACCGTTCGAAAACATTCACTCTATTTCCACGGGTCCCATCGTCCTTATCCGTCGCTTAGGAACGTGTTCTTATCACCAACAGTTCCTTCACACTAATATCCGTATAAATCGATTAAATCGGAATAAAGTCCCGAGCAATCTATTCGAAAAAGGCGCGTTAAGCAGCGAACAACCTAACCTCAACGCGCGGTTGTCACGCGGTTCGACGTTCTTGTATAGCTTCGATAAATTGTAAACTCGTTTGACAACTGTCGTAACGTGTAGTTCGAAACTTGTTAATCACGATATAGTATATTAAAAAACAACAAACGAATAACAATTCGATTGACGAAACGATGTGACGCGGGTGAATTCAAATTCAAACGAGTCATATAATCCCGCCACGATAGGCCACTCTGACCTAACCTCTCGACGAATGATAATACCCGACGAGTACCTCAACTAGTAGCTCGGTCACCCGGGTACGGGTCTCTGGTAATGCACTAAACGTGGTGAGCCAGGTGCAAGAGAGGGGTGATTACAAGAGGAAGGCGCCAGGCCCGTGCGAGCAACCTCGTGGACATGCGAGTGCAGACTGATTGGAGTGTGAGGGTACTTACCCACGAGTCGTGAGAACGGTGGCGGTGGCGGTGGCGGTGGTGGAGGCGAGGTAGAGGCGTGGAGAACAAACCGGCGGCGGTGCTGGCGTGCGCGCGTGTTTTCCGCCGCCATTACTGGCGCCACTGTAGCACCACTTTCGTAATACGCATGCGCGGCATGCGCACACGTTTCATGCGCAATCGTTGCCGTGATACATTGAGGTTTAATCGTGCGCCGACTGCGCGACTGGTAACATCTTGTATAATTTGTTTCAATCGCAATCAAATCTATACGCAAATTTTCTTTGTAATTAATTCTTCTATGAATTTTTTTTGTGATAAAAGTGAATAATCCTATATATTTCATAGTAAATATTTTTTAAATAGTTTTAATATAATAATATAATCAATCATATATAGATTATTTTATCTAAATTTCATATCCATTCTTCAATTGTGACGACAGGAAAAATGTATCATTTTTAATTTCGATTTTAAATCGTTTTTCTTTAAAATATAAAATATAAAATATTAAGTTAAATCAATATATATATTGATACACGAGTTTGAAAATTTATATAAAATATATAATTCATTTTTTCTGAATAATTATAAGTTTCTTATAATTATATTATTTTTTCTGGAAAATTTGTCGATATTATATTATTTAATTATATTAGAAATTTAATAAAATTTTTCAAAGTTATTACAATATAATTCATTAATATATATAAATATCAATTACACATATAACATATAAAAAATAATATTAGATTATTTTAGAAAATTAAAATAAAAATATTTTTTATTTTCGTATATGAATTTTTCAAAATTCTTGAAATTTATAAGAAAATTTATATTACTAAAAGATTCGTGAATATATAATTACATATATATATAATACATATATTTATTTTTATATAAATTTTTGCGATTTTTAAATTGTTTAAATAATTGCAGCATCATTTCACTTTTTTTATATGAGAAAATATACAATTGTTTAAGTGTTAGTAATAATATATTTTTAAGAAACTTTTTTTTTTAAATATTTTCACATATTATCTTTGAAAAACAGCCAACTTAGTGTGTGCTGCCCTCTGTTAGAAGATAGTCGAAATTAGATATTTCAGTTAAATACAACAATTTATATAATAAAATTGCTAAAGATATTCTACTTTTAAGAAAATTTAAACTAAACTTAATAGATTATATAATAAGCTACAAAAAAAGTCAAGATAAATGGGAAAAAATGTATATTACCGTAACAGATATACTTGTACACTAACGTTTCTACAAATGATAACTACATGAAAATTTGTAGCACAAACGAAGTATTGAACATTGAACATACCTAATATTTAATGTGATTTAATTTTCTTGTTCTATATCTATTTATATTCGTGAATAATAAAATTTCCTTTTTTCATTCATTCATTTAATTCAGGCTAAGTCTTACACATAAAAAATTAAATTAATGAATATAGATTTAAATTTAAAATTCTACTAGTAAATTTTATCTATATAAATTTTTATTATAATAAATTCATATTTTAAAATATTGCTTCGGAGTATTATGATTATTTTATATTTTATTAATTAAGAAAAAATATATAAAAGCAGAATTACAAAAATGTATGTGTAATAATTTTATTTAAAGTGATCGTATCGAAATTCGATGTTCAAAATATGAAATATACAATTATTAACATGTACATTTATAATCTTTTTTAACACAATATTGAAAAATTAAATTCATATGCAGTATAATGCTGAATAATATCACGAAGAGTAAATTTCAGAAAAAATCGAATAAAACAATAGGATAAAATAATAGGCAGCGTATAAAATATTTCCAATCTTTAAACTTGAAATATACACAAATTTACATATATTTAATATCAGTTCTGTACTCTCAAATATTTTTTCTTTTATCATTTAATATACTTATATGCGAAATAATAATACCAATCTTATTTTTTTTTAATATACTTTGCTGTAAATATCATTATATACATGTTTTATACAGTTCTGATATATTTCAATTATTATATATTAATTTATTTAATTATGAAAATAATTAAATAATCAAGTAATACTTTTTAAATCAAACATAAAGAGAATATGAATTTTTAAATAATAAAAGCTTAAATTTGAAAATATAATACTCATATATTGAAAATAATTAGAAAATATATATAATTATATGCATATTTATAGTGCAAATATTATACTATCAAATATAAATAGATATACGCAAAATGTTTTAAATATTTAAAAAAAATTATATTTTAATTACTGAATAAAGAATAAAATTCACAGTAATTTTTATTATTTTCAATAGAATTGTAAGTATATAATTTAAAGGATTTACTTGTTGTCTTTATCACTTTTACTTGTTGCTAAATATATTTTAGAGAAAACATTTAAAATGACTAAAATCATATTTGTCTAAAATATTCACAGTCTTTCATTCAAAATTATAATTACATGAATATATGGATTAACAAATTATTTTTGTACTAGATGAAATTATGAACATATTATGTAATTAAATAATTAAATTTGCAAATTTCATTGACTTTACTTTTATATTATTTAAACAATATCGATTTTCTATCAATTTTACGATTATCATATATTAAAATTATTAAAGATACAAAAAAGAATGTAGTAGAAAATTTTCATTATAAGAAATTCATTTTACATATCTATTTAGATTCTTGTAATTATTTTAAAAATTACTTAATTCGATAAAAAAAAAAATCAAATCGATTTCAATCACGCCAATTAAATGAAATTATGATTCTATTTTGATATTTCAAACTACATATTTTATATTATATTTTATGCTATACGTATTTACTATATTATCAATAAATAATATAATACAAATAACTTTCGTTATTATTTTATACATAACATTTTGTATTCGTATTTTTACTGTTAATTATTAACAATTTTGAAATATTCCAATTATTTGCTTTGTAGTTATATAAAGCACTTCTTTTTTTGAGATACTATCATGATTATATTGTATCTATAAATTAATATGATTATATATTTATTTTACAAAACTATGATAAGAGGAACGCAAACAATAAATGTATTCAAATAGACAATTACATTTCATTGACATAGAGGTGAAATCATTCAAAATTTATCTATGTTGTATGCAATCATGTGCATTATAATGAAAAAATAGAATATAGAGTAACGATCAAACTTAAAATAATCTATATAATACATTTTCAAATAAGACTTATTTAATTAAAGCATATTTATCCAAGATTTTCATAAAGATTTCTAATATTGATTCAAATTGAATTGAAAGCAAATGATATGGATAAAAATAATTAATAAAATTTAAATTCTTTTACTGTATCTATTTGTTGAATACATTTTATGTGAATTTTATGTGAAATTGATAAATATTAAGAAAAATTTCTTTTTTAAAAGATAAATATCATAAAAGAAATATCATTAAAGAAAGCACATGTTTTTTACTTTTTCTATCTTGCAAAATTATTTTTCATTAGAATAATTAATATCTTTTGTTGATACGCTTTTACAAATCGTATACATTAATTGGACAAAAATATACGTGATTTTTGAAAATAGAGTAATATAATATTCCCTTCAAAAATATAAGCTTACAACTATAATTTTACATCATTGTTTATCATTTCAAAGTACATATATATAATGTACATGCTCCTTAATATTTTCTTTAATAATTTAATTTAGAAAAAAATGTGTATTCTATTTTCAAAATATATGTAAACTAAAAAAGATGTTTATACAATATATAATAATAAAAAAAAAAAGTTCTATTAACCATATTGTATAAGATTGAAAAGAGCATCAACATTTTCTTTCTCAGACTCTTGTTGTACAACTTGCGTAACATCTTGAGTTAATAGAACTTGTTCTATTAAAACAGTTTCTGAATTGGTTAGTTGTTCTGAAGCTGTAATATTCTCTTCTTTAACTTCTTCTTGTTCATTATTCGATTTGATCACATTTTTCCTCCGTTTCGTTCTAGGTCTGTCTGTATGTATCCTCATATGCCGTCGTAAATCATATTTTCCAACAAAACGGGCATTACAAATTTCACATCCGAATGGTTTACCACCAGTATGAGTCCACATGTGACGTCTCAGTGCGGCACTGAATGTAAACGCTATTCCACAAACATTACAAACATATGGTTTTTCACCTGTATGTAAAAGACTGTGATCTCTTAATGTTGCCTTTTGATTAAATCGTTTTCCACAGACTTCACACGTGTAACTTCGCGGATTCGAATGAATTCTGACGTGATTCAACAAATTCCCTTGTTGTGAGAACGATCGTCCACATACCTCGCATTTGAATGGCTTCTCACCAGTATGAACGCGCATATGCGTCTCTAATGTGCGATTATTTAAAAATCTCTTTCCGCAAACTGTACAGGGATACTTAGGTAAATGAAGACCTTGCGGATCTAAATGAGTAATCAAGTGTCGTTTGTAATTACCTTTATGATTAAATAATCGTGGACATTGACTACATGCATAAGGCGCACCACGTATATGTGTTGTAACGTGAGACTCTAATTCCGATTTAACCTTAAATCTGAGGCCGCATTTCGGACATCGATGCCTTGGAAAATCTGTGTGGCACACCATGTGTCTTTTTAAATATCTTTTCATTGTATAAGCTTTATTGCATATGAAACAGGAATAGGGAAATTGACCTGTGTGCGTTTTTACGTGCGCACGTAATTCTCTGTGACTCTCACAATCTTTCTCGCATACTACACAAAAGAATGGTCCACTACTTGGCACATGATTATCTATAGTATGCAACAAAACACCGGTCAATTTATCGTAATTTTGCAAGCATAGAGTACATTGATACTGTATTACATCATCTTCAAGTTTGATCTCTTTTATTCTCGTTATTGTGTCATTCAAGCTACCTAATATATTATCTTTCGGATCAACAAAATAATCAGAATCAGAATCATTACTCTCTTCTGGTTGATCAAACTCCAGCGAATTTTTTTGTATATTTTTACCATTAATTTTTTCTTTTGATTTTTCTTCTGAAATTGACGATTTCCAGACTATCCTGTCCTTATTAGTTTTATTATCGTCTCTGATTTCTTCAGTTTTTTCATTACACACGGTATTTAAAAATTCTTCGTTGTCTACCGATTCATCTAAAAGTTCACCATTACAATTAACTTCGTCAATTTTTTTATCTTCTAATTTAATCACAGTATCACAAGAAAGCGTATTGTCTGCATTCACATTCTCTACATTCTCTACATTCTCTACATTCTCTAAAGAAACATCTTCCGGTATATACATTATTGTATAGTCTAATTGTTGGGATTCTAAAATTTTCGAAATTTCATCTGGTATCTCGCCCTTTAATCGTTTATCTTGATCAATTTCTCCTCCTGATAGTTTCGAAATAATAATATTTCTTAATGCGGATATACCATCCTTAGAAAATTCACCGTTTTCTTCCACTAAATCAGATACGTCAAGCTCTAATGCTTGTTCATCTTTATGATTTATATTCATTCGTTCAGATAAAAATTCTTCTGAACTGTCTATATCATTAATAGGCCTAATATCTTGTTTATCATCTAATAGTTTTACTTCTGACAATTCGTCATTCGATTGTTCTGAACAGTCTTGTTCAAAATCGTCGCCCATTGCCTCTTCCTGAAAGGCAATACCAACAAGTTGGGAACGATGTTAATGCTTTCACATTACGTGCAATTATATACCATGACGAAGTTAACGAAATTAAGAAAATGCAAGCACATAGCTGAGACAGAATCGATACAAGAAAGGTTACCTTTATGAAAGAATAATATAATAAAAATAATCAATCAAAAATAAAAATTATTCTTCAGTTTTTGAACAACATATGAATAGAAACAATATTTCAAAATTATTATTATTTATTATCCAAAATTGTTATTTTGTTATTATCTAATAATATTTTTATAATTCTATTTTTTCTATATAATTTAATTTTTCGATATTTCGATCGAGATAATATATTTCATATATTTTATATATTAAAGTATAAAGATATAAAAATTAAATATAAATTTTTAATAATCAATAAATAATAATGAAAAATCATTTTCAAGGAAAATTATTTCCCATAATAAAAAAATAATCTCTCTAAATAAATAAGAATAGAATAGTAGAAAAGCACTTTCTTCTTTAGAGAAAAGTGTAATTGATAAAGTAAAGTTTTTAAATAAATGTTAATATTATTTGAAATAAAAAAATTACATATATTATAAATCTACAACATATAAGGCTATTACATAATATTACTTAATAAGAATATTGTTATTAATATTACATTATATAATATTAAATTTCATTAGTTTTGAAAGATTTAAAACAAATATAATTAAACTTAATATAAAACAAAATAAAATTTAGTCTTATATATATATATATAAAATATTTTGTATTGTATATTTATAAAAACTAATATAAAGGAAAATATATTTTAATAAAATTAATCTTAATAAATAATTAATTAATTATAATTATAAAAAATAATTATGAAAAATCAGAAATCTTACCTTTATGTTATATGAAATTTGTGTTTCAAACATTTTGCGAAGTTTCTTTTCAGTAGCTTGAACTTGTAATTTGAAATCATAAAACGCATTTGTGCGATAAGCACACTTTGCACAAAGCATATTTGGTAATCCATCAAATCTATCAATCTATTAAAAAATTAATTATTTAATTATTTAATATAAATAATTTAACTTATATAAAATTATAATAGAATTATGAAACAAATTTTTTTCAAAATTTATTATACACTTTTTTAATAATTTTATAAATTAGTAATTATTAAAACATATATATTATAAATAATTTATTTTGAATTATATATTTATTAACAATATATAGAATAACAAGTTTTTATGTATTATTATAAATATTGTTTTTATAATTATATTTTATGTTATATATACTTTAATTGTTTGTGATACATGATTAAATTTTATATTAAATTTTGAATTATGAATTAATGTTATGTATAAATTGAAAAAACCAACATATTGAATATAATTTTTAAGTAGAAAATATATATGATATAAATATCTTATAATTTTGGTTAGAAATATTATAAACATTATTTTATAGATGTTAATCAATTCTATTTTACTACAAAATTTGTTTTTATTCTTAAAATTCAATTTAAAAACTTTAATATATTATTATTATGAATAAATAGTTTAAATCTCTAATGACATCATTTTGAGGTTATATTATGAAGTTACAAATTTACACATGATAAGTTGATTGAAATATATTATTATGTAAAAAATGTTTTACAAAAAAAAATACATATAATAAATTATAATTTATAAATAACCTGTATTGATGCAAGTTCAGCAAGCTTATCAGGTAAATTTTTTTGACTAATCGTGTCGTCATCATACATAGGGAGAAGTACGCCGTCAACTTTCATACATCCTCGACACATGTTAGCACAGGTAATTTCCCAACTCATTGTTACCTTCGATATTCTAATACGAATAAAATTAGATTTCCACAGCGTTGTTGCTCATTTAGAAATAAATGCATTTCACATTTCGCGGTCAGTGCCTTGTTTCCTATGGAACATTATCGTCAACATAACGTCCAGTCATTAACTGTAGAGTTTATAATCCACACGTGTATTGAGTAAGGCAACTTCACAATACTGAAGCGACATCTGATGTAGATTATTTTGTACAAACGAGTAATTGATTAAAAGAAATTACTTAAGTATATCAGTTTTGATTTTTGAATATATATGTATATCTAATGTATATATTTTATAAATAATATCATTTTCTACTGAATTTCTGTAATAGATATATATATATATATATATATATATATATATTTTAGCATTTTAAATAAAGTCTTACATAAAGTATAATTTTTAATCATTTATTTTATAACATTCTAACATTAACATTTAATATTTTTATAATAATAATAAATATTCATTCATTTGTTTATTCTCTGAATATAATTATCGATTAATTATTCTATTTAATCTAATTTCAACAATATTTTTGAATATCAAGAAATAAATCTTTAATAAATAAATTAAATTATTCTAAATTATATTTAAATCTCTTCTACTTTGATAAATTTTTATATTGAATTAATTATTAATATATTTTTATTATAGTTTTAATTATCACATGTTTAAAATTTTATATTATAAAGATTTATATTTAAAATATTATATAATAGTTGAATTTTCCGCGCAATTTTAAATGAATAAGGAACCATATCATTTCAGCCAATTAGGATGTCGATAGCGAATTGGTTCGCATGATGTCAGTTATATATTAAAAATCGTGATGTACACAGGTAGAATTATTATACCGGTAGAAGTAAGTAATCATGTAAAATCTTTATTGATTGATATTTTATTATGATTTATAATAGCCTCATTTAATTATTAATAAGTGAAGTGTACGCTCAACTTATTTTCGAATTAAAAAAAAACTTTTTTACCAATTTAAAATTTGATAAAATTGCAGCGCACTGTATCATTATATGTCAAAAATTGTAACAAATTATCTAAACTATCATCTTTTTTTGATTATCTGCGCAATTACTTCTATAGCTATTCTCTTAATATTCATATTCTTTTTTTTATGTGATAATTAATTTTAAATCTATATATTTTATATTTTAAAATTTTGATTTTTTTTTTTATATATATATAGATTATTAATTGACACAATTTCCAAGGCGGGAAAAATTTCAACGTGGACATCAAAATGATCGATTTCGGAGAAATGTTACAATTTTACATTTTGTATAAAAATTGTATTTTTTTCAAAATAGTTTTTTTAATCTTTAAAAGCATGTGTAAAATTAGAATCAATGTTGGTTTATCGATTATAACTTAAATAGACGCGATAATAGTGTTTTTTTTTTTTATGTTTATTTTCGATGTGTATTAGCACTGAATCAGTGTAGTATAAGTTTCTTTTTTTAAAGAAGATAAGATAATCATCAATTATAAAAAGGTTACTATATTTTAATCGATTTAAATTTTTATTCTTCTATTAAAATAGAATTTAATTTTTAAATTTTAAATTATTTTATTAATATTTTTTTTTAATTAATATTATAATTCATTAGAATTTCAATTCTTGTTACTATTATATTTTGTTAAAGTTTTTATATTAATTTTTTCAAATAATCGACACTTTTTTTTAAATTATAATGTTTCGAATTATATTACAGATTTCTTTTATATTCTCCTACATGACGACAGTCTTTTTTTTGAGTTATACCGATAACACCACATTCTTCTCGTTTATTAAAGGTAAGTTGCATGTATTTTTATTTCTCTAATTCAATCAATTTATATAATGAAAAATCTGAATTGATATGAATGGCTGATTGCCATCAGTATTTAAAATCAAAAAAGTGTAACATCAGAATATATATTGAATATAAATATTTATAAAAATTAAATCATGTTAAAAAAAAGATGGCTATGTGCTCTATCTTATAAGTATATGTAATATATAGAACAACATGTATATGTAACTTTTATTAATTGTTTTTATCATGAAATTGTTTTTAAATTGTTTTAAAAAGTTAGTTTAAATTGCAAAGCAGTTATTTCACATAGTATAATTTATAGATTCTCCCCATCTATATAAAAAAGTTAGCTTGGTCAGGTTAAAAGCTACTTATCACGATATTTCGAGAATTGAGGCTATTAGCTGCCCGAGGGATAAAGATGACAAGGTGTTCTCGAGTCACGTAGATAGTAGCATAAGTTAAGGTCACTATTATGCAAGATATTATTTAAAATATAAAATTATTTTTTGAATTTTTTAAATACTTACATGTAAAATGTTTCTAAACATGCAAAATGAGAGTAATGATGATACATAATAATATCGGTTACTCAATAATCAATTCGATATAAACGATATGATAATTCAATAATAAAATAAATTGATAAATTAATTCGATACAAACTGATAATATAGAAAAGCAAATAAAAAAAATTGTAAGATTTTTCTACTAATGTTAATATGCTGAATTCTAAAGTACAGATTTGTATCTAGATTTTAGATAGAGAGAAGTGTCCTTAATGACGCCAGATGCTGCAGCACATTAACTCTTAAATCTCGGTTACATCATGAACAAAAACATTTATTCGCAGCAACTTTGATAATTCTCGAGAAACTTTCTTTTGAAACAAATACTGTTAACTAAAAATTACAATTACATTTTTTCTGATACAATTTATAATTGTTAAAAATTATGACTTCGGTTGATCCGATAAAATATTCGTAACTTGGAAATATTTAAAAATTTTTATGACATTCATGTGCAAATTTAGTACAAATTGTAAAAATGAGTTATAATTACTGTAATAATTATTGATAAAAAAAAATGAAATTTTCTTTTTTTGATGGTTACGAAGATTTAAAAGACTAACTTTTAAAAACATTTAAAAACTCATCGCATTTCGAATAATTATAAAACTTTCTGGAAATTTTTACATTACAATTATTAAATTACTATTTTTATATCTATATTTGAATTTTTTTTTTTGCCATATAATTTTTCAATTTCATATATATTCGAAGAGTATATTTTTTTTCATAGAAATATATTTGTAAAAATCTAGAAAAAAAAAGAAATAATTGTAAACTGAACTCTCTTTTATTTTTATCTAAAAATATTTTTTAAAAAAACGATCCCCTTTTGAGAGTGAAAAATCGGTAGTAGTTAATCCATTGAGGATCATAAGTTTTAAGGGAAAAAGAACATTACTCGGTGAAAGGATCTCTACAGTCGATCATCAATCTTCCCCACAATCGCCAACATTTACAGTATTCTTCTACTGGTGTAGCATGAATGCTCGCGCCATTTTACACTTTGTTGAAAAGTAATATTACATTAGTGCTGTATAATATTAATATAACCAAAAAAAAAAAACAAATCATCATCAAATATATATTATAAATTAAAAAAAAAAAATTAATACTAATCTAAACAAGAAACACTATCAAACATTCTATATCTTCGATTCTACATCATATTATTATTATCGTTTTCTCTAGTCGACACGATTGTTTTCAAACTTTTAAACCGAAGCAAATCTGTACGTTCAATAGAGAAATAATTATCGATACGATACATTTTCGATTCATCGATGTTACACAATTTCTAGACAAACTCGTTCAACGGTTACACGCCGGATGGAACGGAACGGTTGCAATGTTGCTACAATAACATTTGACGCAATGCGAGGGTCCCGAGTGTTCGAAGTATCGAACCATACAAGTGGAGCGAACTTTGTCCTTCGATCTTGCCTTTCGAAAGCAAGAAAAGAAAAAAAAAAAAGAAGAAAAAAGGAAGAAGAAGGATAAGCGGAAAATATCGGAAGGATATACAAGGTTATCGGAATGGGTGTTTTCGTGGCTCATCCTGCGATGAAAAGTCGATCGGTCGAGAGAAAAGGATCAACACCTCTTTTCGAAACGTAGCGGCCCAACCCTAGGAGGCGAAGCTCGATCAGCGCCTGCGCCCCGCTAAATGCCACTATAAGAATCTGACCGGCGCTCGTAGGGACTCAGTCCACCCCGTGGTATACCGGTGTCGTGTTCCCCGTTTCGTTGCATCTTCCTACCCTGGGAACCCCTTTCGTGGACCAGGAGACGTTGTCGCTATGTTGTTTTTCGTACATCAGTGACAAAGAACGAACGATAAGGCGAACGACTGAGTGGGTCAACGAAAAAGAAGAGAGAGAGAGAGAAGGAAAAAGTAACAGAGGAGGGCGGAGGGTGGATGACAGAGGAGGGAGCGAGCAAGGATAGAGGGATAGAGAGAGAGAGAGAGAGAGAGAGTGTGTGTGTGTNTCAC